TTCCTCTATCATCTACAATCTCTATCTTCTATCTACAATCTCTCTTTTTCTATCATTTACAATCTCTCTTTCTCTATTTTCTATCTACAATCTCTCTCTCTCTCTCTCTCGCCATAAGGCAACTCTAGGCAGTTTATAACAGCAAACTGTTTATGACCTTTTTTGCTATGTTGTTAAACGAACCATCATCGTTAAGTGAGACGCCACATGATCATAGTGTGAGGACTGGCCGGGAGTCATTTTTTCCCCCAGTGCCATTGTAACTCCGAATGGCCGCTAATCAAAAGGATGTAAGTCGAGGACTCCCTGTGGCCCAATCCTGAAGAGCATCGCAGAAAGAAACACAACGAAGAATCACCCTTTTTGAACCAATGGGTGTCTGGTTGTGTTCGAACCCACAGCCAGGAGCAGCACTAACCTTCAGATTGCCCGTGTTTGTCACATAGTAGCTGTGACTTTTCAGTCCTCACTTTCCTTCAGCATGTGGTTGTTAAGCAAATCACTGCTGCTGTTAAGTGAATTGCACAGTCATTAAACAAATCCAGCCTTTCCCTTATCTGAAGTGTCTGAGCGTTTGCAGCGTGACTACCATTATGAGACAACCCAGGAGCAAAAAAAACAACAACAACCAAAAAACCACCACACAGAGACTTAGATATTTAACAGTGGTTTATATACAACAGTTATATACAGACATATACGTGGTAGGCAAAATACCTTACAAGCAATCTTTCTTCTTAACTCTACAAGGAGAACTTCTGCAATGAATGCCAGACACAAGGAGAGAGAACACGCCCTCTAATGGCTGCCTTTATATAAACACCTCTTAAAGGGGTAGAACTCATCCCCAGTCTTAAAGGGAAATACCCATGCTAGGCTGAATCACCTCTTATTGCATCAGCCACAACTGGCAGCTATTACTGCTGGTCGGCTTTTAAATCCCAAGACCTTAACACGAAGCCAGCTGGGAAGGCCACAAATGGCAATTATGTGACCCCGGGATGCTGCAACCATCATAAATACATGTTGGTTGCCAAGCACCCACATTTTACCATATGACTATAGGGAACGAGGACCGCAAGTCACTAAACAAACAGTTGTATGTCAAGGTGTGGTGGCCTGTCAGCTGCCGGCCCCTCCAGCAGCCGAATCAGAGGAGGAGGAGGAGGCGTGGGAGTCAGGATCACCATCAGGGCAACCTCGGAGCTCCAAGTGGGAAGAGGGAATGGAGCTGGCAGAGAGAGACAGAGACAAAGACAGAGACTGGGCCATCCGTCAGCCTTCAGATGGAGAGTCAACAGCCCCCAGGTCTGGAAGTGGCTGATGAGGAAGAGGACAAATAGCTGGGTCCAGTGCCTGACGTGTGGATGTGTAGAAGGCAGAGAGGAGAGGAGAGGAGAGCAGAGCAGTGGAAATCTATGGGCCGGTCCTTGGGACGGAAGCCCCACTTTAGCTCTGGGGATAGAAGGCAGGAGGCGGAGATGAATAGATGTGGCCGACAACTATTCATCTTCCGGCCAGGCGGACTTGTTAGCCTGAGAGATAAATTTTCTGCCAGGGCTGCCGGCGTTCCTAATAAAGGAATCTTTTTGAGTTCACGTCAAGAGGGTTTGTGGTGTTTGGGGAGCTGGGTCAGAACACAAGGACAGCCTGCAATGATGAGGAGGAGGAGGAGGGACCCAGGTTCTCAAGAACTTCAGTTCATCCTTCTGCTTAAGACTATAGAGTCTCGGGGGTTCCTTTTTAGCTATTTTTTTCCCCCTGGTTTTTTTTTTTTCCCCAGAGTTGCTGACTCAGCCTTTTCCTTTGTCTGTCTCTCTCTCTTCCCAGATTGAACACGTCAAACAGGGAGTTGATCAGAAGATTCAAAGTGGCCAGGAAAAGCTCCATCAGATGTGGCTGCAGTGGCACCAGAAGCAGGCTCCTGAGGTGACCCAGAAGGAGGCCCCCAAGCCACAGGTACATGAATGACAACGAGGTGGGAGGGACCTTAGAGGTCTTCTAGTCCAACCCGCCGCTCAGGGAGGAGGAGACCCTCTACCATTCCAGGCAAATGGGTTGTCCAACCTCTTCTTCAAAATCTTCCGTGATGGAGCGCTCACAAGTTTTGTTAGGCAAGCTGTTCCACTGGGTTAATTGTCCTCACTATTAGGAAGTTTCTCCTTAGTTCTAGGTTGGACCCTCTCTTTAATAACCTTCCGCCCGTTACTTCTTGAAAAATAGTTTGTGTGAGGAAGAAGTACACTAAACCAGTTCTTAAAAGCTTTTGGGTTTTTTATACATCTTTAAAAAGACTTTCTTGTTAAGGTCCTGAAAGTCCTTCAATGGTTGCCTAGGTCTTGGATGCTGAATTGTCTGCCCATAGTAAGATGACAACTTTGGGGTCGTTTGTGCAAGATAACAGAAAAACAGAGTTAGAAAAGGGAGCTTGGAGGTCTTCTAGTCCAACCCTCTCCTCAGGGAGTTGTTGGCCCTATACCATTTCTGATAAATGCTCCCTGCACTAGCAGGAGACCTAAACCATTCCAGACGGGTGGCTGTCCACTCTCTTCTTAAAAACCTCCACTGATGAAGCACCCACAACTCCTGGTGGCGAGCAGTTCCACGGGTTAATTCTTCTACCTGTCAGGAAAATTTCTCCTTAGTTCTAGGTTTCTTCTCTCTTGGATTAGTTTCCATCCGTTGCTTCTTGTCCTGCCTTCTGGGTGCTTTGGAAAAAGAGCTTGACTCCCTCTTCTTTTGGGGCAGCCCTTGAGATATTAAAACACTGCTATCCTGTCTCCCCTGGTCCTTCTCTTCAGTAGAACCAACTTCTGCAACCGATCTTCACGTTCTAGTCTCCAGACCCCTAATCACCCATTGATGATAATTGATAAGGATGTTATCCATTCAGTCATGCCTGACTCTTGACGATTCTATGGGCCAAGTGTCTCCATATCTTCCAATCTTCTTTCAGCTGTTCTATGCTCTGCCTGATGTCAGTTTTGAGGGTGTCCAACCACCATGTTCTTTGATGGGCCGGTTTCCTTTTGCCACTAGCTCTTCTGAACATAATTGCTTTTGTTGAGGTAATTCCCCGTTAGGAGAATGAGCGCATACAGGGAGACGTATAGAGAGTAGTGTTGGAATAATACACACAGAGCACACAGATACACTGTAGAGTAAATGTAGGTTTTTACTTCCAGAAAGGTTTAAGCAAAGTCCAAAATAAGCAGTCCAAAAGTCATTTACAGGTAAATCAGTCAGTTTTTCAATCCAGGGATAATCCAAATATCAAAGTCCAGTGTCAAAAACAGTTCAGTATCAGACTTACATTAAATCCAGTAATATCAGTCAATTAGAAGAAATGGAGCAACGGCAATATTTTCCAACAGAAGGAAACAGAGATAATCACTCAGACACACACTCTTCTGAGACTAAGACTAAAATAATCCAGGTTTCTGGCTCCATCTTATGGCCGTTTGAAAAACCACACCCAATTGCAGTTTTTGCATTCCCTTAAAGAGACAGTATTAAAATGTCTATCCTGGTTTATATATTTCTAACCCAAATACCTGTTGGGTGACTTATATTCCTAACAGCTTTCTCCAGTGAAATCCCTCACGTGACACAGCCAAAAATAAGTGAGATGAAGTTGTCAGCTTTGGAAGCCATATTAGCACCAGAAGCTTCCACGCTGCCACATTCTTGAGCCTGGGACGTTGGAAGTGGGGAGGGATTTCATGGAGTGTACGTGGTGAGACATAATAGCATTTTTCTTTAAAGTCAAGGTCATGTTATTTCTGCACCTGGTTGAGAGGACGTCTCAAGTTGGAACAGATGGTGATTGCGGCATGTGATGGAATAATGGGCGCAGGGAGTGGATTTGTAATTTTTTACTTATTGCAAGGAAACACGGAACTTTCAGATTCGGGTTTTCCTAGATGTGCCAGTATAACTACTCTAATAAAAGGAAACTTGCCTTCCTCTGTGTTTTTAATTGGAGTTGGGTTTTTCTGAGGACATATCTGCGACAGTCCCTCAAGTATGGCAGATGGCTATCATGTCACCCCTGGTCCTTCTATTCGTTCTCCACCTGAGTTATTTCTTGTTCTACCTTCAGGTGGCTTGGAGAACCAGTTGACCATACCATGTTCTCCACAGGAACCCTGGTGTTTCAGTTTACTTCATTGTCATTGCACCTCATACAATGAAATCAAACACCATCTTCAGGGCACATCATGACCATGAAAATAAACACAAACACACATCCTTCACACGCCACACATTGAATTAAAAAAACCCGACACCACACCAGCACTGCACTATACAGTAGAATTCAAAAGAACTACTGGCCTGGGATAGAAGCTGTTTTTCAGCCTATTTGTCCTTGTTATTCTGTACTTTTACTTTTATTATTCTGTTTTAATTTATTGGGAGGTGTGGAGGAGATACCATCCACCTGAAGTCCCAAAGTGATTTTTTTTTTTTCAAGAGGCAACTGGACTTCCTTTGTTTTTCCTTGAAGACGTTTTGCTTCTCATCCAAGAAGCTTCTTCAGTTCTGAGAGCTAAACCTCCAAGTGGCCTCAACGACTCTTGGAGAGAGCACAAACGACCAGATGACTGCAAGGAAGGTAAATTCCTTCCATCCTCCCCCATTCAGTCAGAAATGAAGAAGCTTCTTGGATGGGTTGTGAAACGTCTTCAAGCAAAGCCAAGAAAGTCCAGTTGCTTTTGGGACCTGCATTACGGTCCACCTGAAGAACTAACTAATCTGACTTTTGCTTGCAGGAGATCGAGTCCCAAGCTCTGGAGGTCTCCCGTGGCCTCACCCAACAGTTGCAATCGGCTACCACGACGCTGGTCTCCAACCTCCAAGGTCTACCAGCCGGCCTTCAAGAGAAAGTGGGCCTTATCCGCCAGAACGTCGACGAGCTCCGTACCGCCTTCATGACCGCTGGATCTTTCCAGGATCTGCCGGGATCCATCCTAGCTCAGAGTCGGGAAAAAGTTGCCAAGGCCCGTCAGTTGACGGATGAGCTAATGGATCACGTGGTGCAAAATGCCCCTCTCACTTGGCTTGTAGGCCCCTTCTCGGCCTCGGGCAAAAAAGAGGGCGAAGAAATAGAAATGAAATAGCATTTCAAGGATGCAAGCAAATCAGAATATTGTTAAGTGTAAGGCGGGGGGTTTTTTTTGGAGCAAAGGGAAGAATTACGCTTGGCTGCAAATAGTTGAAATAAATATAGAATTCTTGGTGTAAAAGATTGCTGGACCAAGGAAAGTCGAAGGATTTTTTGATGGTCCGGTTGCTTTTGTTTTTCTAACATGATCCAGTGAAATTTTGGGCCGACGGGCTTATTTCGCCCAATTTAACACGCCTGATTTCATACTGTAAATTGGCAACTGAAGAGGCGTTTATCTCACTAACTCATCTAAAAGCAAGTGTTTTTTTTAACGTTGCAGGATTAGGAGAATAGAATCCATTTTAAATGGATATGGCCCAAATTAAGAAGCGGTTATCTATATTTTTCATGTAACCAACTTCTTTTCAATTGCTGGGAGATTATTCTTGCAAGAGAAATCTCAGAGACAAAGAATTATTCAGTTTGATGCAAAATGCAGAACAATGGGGAAGCTTAACCAATTATACGCAACCTTTTTCTTCTGAATTTTCTCTTCCCCGTGATAATTCTCTGGCTTAATTGATTTTTTGCAAATAGTGACAACTGAGAAAGCTGAAGTTGCCAGAAATGTAAGTGGGATGAAAGGATGGAGACAAAGATTAGGAAATTATCTGGTGTTTTTTTTTTATTATTCTTGCATTCTGGTCCTTTTTATTCAGCCTTTCTCGGTGCCTGTAGGAGTTGGGAGGAGGGAAAATGAGGTTAAACATCTTTGCAAAGTTTCTTCTGTATTTGCAAGTCAAGTTATCTAGGGCAGTGTAGCATCCTTTGGTTAAAGTTCTTCCCATCATTTACACCACGAGTCTCCAAAGTTGGCAACTTTTAAGGCTTGTGGACTTCAACTCCCAGAATTCCCCAGCCAGCCATACATTCGTAGCCGGCTGGGGAATTCTGGGAGTTGAAGTCCACAAGTCTTAAAAAGGTTGCCAACTTTAGAGACCCCTGATTTACAGGGTGGAATCAACTCTTAACCGATACAGATGATCAGACTTGTTCCATTTTCAGCTCCTTGCTTGTAAATGACCTTTCAGAATTTTCCACGCGCTCTTTGTATGTTGTGTAAATCAATTTGCCCTCCATGCTTCCCATTGTCGATTTGTAACCCATGCCTTAACTCACAAAATAAAACTAATATCATATTGCATTAAAAAGCTGGAATCTTTTTTTATATATATTTTCCAAGTCATGTCACCATTTTATACAAGCTCCTTTTAGGATATTCACATCCACAGATATTATAACATGGCCCAGAACTTAATTAGGCTTAACAGATAACAGATAATCAGAGTGGGAAGGGACCTTGGAGGTCATCTAGTCCAACCCCCCGCTCAAGCGGGAGACCCTACATCATTTCTGACAAATGGCAGTCCAGTCTCTTCTTGAAAGTCTCAAGGGATAATGCTCCCACAACTTTCTGAGGGCAACTTCTGTTCCATTGGTTGATTGTTTACTAGCTATTGTAACTGGTAACCCCTTCCTCAGACACCTTCCATGTTACCATCACTATTTTGTGACAGGGAGCTCCACCGTAATAGGCGGCGGCCAGATTTCCTAAAACTCTCCTTTTTTATTGATCTTTTTCCCCCCCACACAATCAGTTTACAAATAATGGCATTGCCACCCAAGTGAAAGATTTTCCGATCAGCAACTTTATCTTGTTTTAGTTATGTGTCCGTGGCAGCAAAAAACACAAGATTATCCGGTTGCAAAGGATGGATCGACATTATATTTGCCATCTAAGTGGAAGTCAAGTTAAATGTAGCAGAAATTTTCACCTGTCAAAATTAATGTGGCTTTTTCTTTAAAAATTCAATATTTTTTTCTCCGGGAAAACAAACAAAGGCTAAAAATGGAGGGTTTGGCTCTCCCTAAACAGGATACAGTCCTTAGCTTATGACCTCAACTGAGCTCAAAATTCATGCAAATACCCACAACCTGCTCAGTTTTAAATTTGGGAGATGCCCAGAAAGAAACTAAGAAAAAAAAGTACACCAGTCATCAGCCATGGGCATAACACCATTTTATGTGAACGTGGCACCTTGCACGTGCTGTGATGCTTTTTAAAAAAAAATTATGAAAAGTTTTTAAAAGAATATAAAAGCAAAGCAAGCAAGCAAAAAACAGGGAAGGGAAGGAAAGAAAAATGAAGAAAGGGAGGAAATACAAGAAAAAGGCAGGAAGAAGGGAAATTGGAAGGAAGGAAGAAAATACAAGAAAAAGGAAGGAAGAAGGACAAAAAAAGGAAGGAAGGAAGAAGGGAAAGAAAAAGGAAGGAAGGGAGGGAGGGAGGAAGGAAGGAAGGAAGGAAGGAAGGAAGGAAGGAAGGGCCAAAACAAAGAATAAAAGGAAACTGAACATGTGTTCAATTCCCTTTGCAGCAAACATAAAATACAATTACAAAAGTATCGCTCGACCTGTAAATTACAAGCATAGCCTGCTATTTTCAGAATGGCCTCCCTCCCCCTCTCTTTCACAGCTCAGCCAAACTCCCACAAGTTGGCAAGGTGGAGGGGATTCCAAGTCCCATCCTCCCCCCCTCCAGCTGTGGATACTGGGTGTTGTAGTGGCCACCAGATGGTGGGGGGGTTAGAAAAGCTGACCCCGTCACCTGATCTGTGACATCATACCCTACATCACAAGGGCCGCTTAGAATGGTGGGAAAATCTTTAGCCTTGGCCCGCCGCCCTAGGGATGGTGGCTTGCCTGGGTGGGGAAACCAAGATGCCCTGAATTTCGGCCAGGATCATGGCAGAATGTGAGTGGAAAAGCCAAGCGGTCAGCTGTAGCAGGGAGGGTCCAGAAATGGACTTTCCTTGGGAACTTGGGAGGCCTCCCTGCTTATTAAACCCCTATGCCCCTTGCAAAGTCTTCTAAGAGGCTGGAGAAGGAACGAAATATCCCAGTTCTATGCATCCTTCAGCCATCTGGCTTTTGCGTCAGTCTGGGTGACTACATAGACCATCCCTGCTGCCTTTTGGCCAGGAATATCATTTGCATTGAGCAATGGAAGGGAATATTTGCAGCTCGGGGCTGAAGAGTGGGGCGCTCTCTAAGCCTGGTGGCTTTCTTGCAGACCTTTCATGACCCAGCTAGGGAACATCGTCAGTGTTAGAAGAGGGTGGGGTTGGAGGAGGAGGAGGAGGAGGAAGAGGAGGAGGATCCTTAATGCTCTCTGAGCTTGGTGGTTTTCTTGCAGACCTTTCATGACCCAGCTAGGGAACATCATCAGTGTTAGAAGAGGGTGGGGTTGGAGGAGGAGGAGGAAGAGGAGGAGGATCCTTAATGCTCTCTGAGCTTGGTGGTTTTCTTGCAGACCTTTCATGACCCTGCTAGGGAACATCATCAGTGCTAGAAGGAAGCGGGGATTGCAAGGAGGAGGAGGTTGTGGAGTCCTTGGTGCTCTCTTGGTGGTTTTCTTGCAGACATTTCATGACCCAACTAGGCAACATCATCAGGACTAGAAGAGGGTGTGATGGTGAAAGAACCAGAAAGGTTGAAAGGAGAGGGCTGAAATTAAGGAATGGAGGAATTATCAATTTTTTTCCTAAAGTCTGGAATGAGAAGGCGAACCAGTTGAAGGAAAGCTGGGATCTATAAATGTTTGTCGTCAATTCAACAGATTAATCTTTTTATTTATTTATTTAGTTTGGAGCTCAGAAGAATATAAGATGATTGCCAGTTCCTCAGATCCTAAGTCACAAACTATGTATTTGCGGGAAGAGAAAACGGTATTCTCTCTTTTTTTACCTTTGGATTAAATAATTGGAGGGAAAGGGTACTTATTTATATTTGTTTGTTTGTTTATTGCTTATTATTAAATTATATGCCTCCCATCTCACTATCCAAAGCATTAAAGAAAGATTATTCAGTGCGAGAATGAATTGGTGGCCAGGAATGATAATACAGGAAGTCCTCAATTTACGACCGCAATTCAACCCAAAATTTCTGCTGCTAAGCGAGCGTTGTTAAAATTGAGTTTTGCTCCCATTTTGTGACCTTTCTTGCCACAGTTGTTAAGTGAATCACTGCAGTCGTTAAGTTAATAACAAGGTTGTTAAGCAAATCAGGGTTCCCCATGAACTTTGCTTGTCAGAAGTTTGCAAGAGGGGATCATGTGATCCTGGGACACCGCAATGATCATAAGCGTGACACAAAAATAACAAAGTCACAAAAGTAGAATAAATTCCCTTTAATGCCTCCAACTTGGCCCCCAATGTCCAATTATCCTCGGCTGGATATCAAACTCTTCCAAAAACAGTCTACGAAGGGAGTAATGCAGTCCGAACCCAAAGTAAAGATAATTAGAAATTTAAAAACAACAACAACACAAACCACGCTGAAGTAAATAAGTCGGCAGGCCAGGATGATAAATTGCAGACTTCCACAAGATAACGCAGCAACCACAATTGGGAGGACGCCCAAACCCAGATAAGCCTCGACAAAGATAATGCACGCTTTGCTTCCGGCAAGGAGCTGTGTGCAAACGCCCCACTTATATCCTGTTCTGCCAGCTGCAACTAACGAAAGGGATCAGGGCCTTTTTCTCTCCCGTAAGCCACGTTGCTCCCTTCTCCATTCCTCTCGGCGTGCCCTAGGATGAAGAGGGGATGGCGCTGGGTCTTCCTCTGAATGCCCAGCCGGACTGTGCCTTTCCCCCGTTTCTTCCACACTCACACTCCCTGTCCGCTGCTCCATCTCCACCTCAGAATCAGACTCCACCAAGAACATGACAATAAGTATGAGTCAGTTGCCACTGAATTTTGATCACACGACTGTGGGGATGCTACAAGAGCCGTGTGAAAAACTAGCCTGTTAACTTTTTTCAGTGCTGCTGTAACTTAAAATGGCCACTCAATGAATGGCTGTAAGTCAAGGACTACCTGTGAAGTAGAATTAGGTCGTGTTTTATGCCTGATCCGTCTGGAAAGGCTGGTACTTACCTTATTCCAGTGAAAAAGCTATCTTATTTCTAGTAAGCAGACCCATCCTAAAGATCTTCTAAAAGAGGAAAAGGGTAAGGGGATACTGAATGAGGTACCCCAAGGGGAGGGGTACTCCCTAAGGAAGGGACGGCCCCTGAAAAGGCATGTGCCAGCTGCTGCCTTACGCTTGCTTGTAGTTCGCTGCTATGCGGTGACAAACGGCCAAGGAACTGCGTGGAGGGGGAAGGAAGGGAGAAAGGCTTGGGGAAATGAAAGTAATTGCTGCATCTTCTCGAGATGCTGCCTCAAGGCCACCCAGCTGGAAAAAGGAGGGAGATGCATACCCAACTGTGATCGGATTGGCCGTTAGGAAAACATCTTGCCTGAACCTGATCGGTTACAACCGGGAGGAGCAATGATGGACAGGTTAAGGGGGCGGAAAGTAGAACTTAGGGATTTGGGCGTGCAATTTTCCGCTCTGTCCTTTGCAATACTGCAGTGCAGGTAGTTCCTCAACCTGCGGCCACAATTGAGCTCAACATGTACGTTGTTCAGTGAGAAATTATTTGTTAAGTGAGTTTTGCCCCATTGTACTGTACAACTTTTCCCGCCGCATTTGGTAAGTGAATCTCTGCAGCCCTTAAATTAGTAACATTAATTAAATTAATTA